ACCTCAGGAAGAGGAAGGAGCACCGCACGTGCCCTTAGAATCAGTTTGGATTTCTGCTTCTTTTTTTGACATCCATGATTTTAACTTGCTAGGGATGGGCAAACCTTGCTAATTTTAGCTGCTAGTAATCCCAGTTTACTGACCCCCCTTCCCCCAAGTTGGCTTTTTAATTGTACAAACATCTTCTGTTTGGTCCTGTTTTGTACTGATGACATGTACTTTCGTCTTTCCTGAATCTCCCACCTTTCATCTTCATGTGATGACCACAATTTCTAGTGTTATCCAGGAAGGGAAGTCTCTCCACATATTTTATCAACATTATGCTTAATTTTGTAGATCTCTCTCTCTTGATCCCACATATGCTTTCTCTGAGCAGAACCTTGTAATGATGCATCAGGGTCTAGGGTAAAGCAAACCAACTGAGGTGGCACTGTGAATGGACGAAACTGAATGTAGTAATGTTTGATTTCTGAATGGTGCAGGAGGACTTTAAATGTGTTGAGAATTGTGGGACATAGGTGCAGGGCCAGCCATAAATACTGTGCTGTCCGAGATTAAGGAAACGTTGGGGCCCTTTCTCTTTCCTTGTGCAAAATATGACCAGACTGATTATAAATGGAATGGCATCTTCCAGTGCACTTGAGCATAGCTGGCTAGCTTAGATGAATGTAGTACAGGTCACTTGGACATGTAGCTCTCTCTTTCCAAAAGGCTTCCATTTTTTGCCTCATAGCTGTTATGTGCTATTTTAGGTAACCACCTCACTCTGCCCAAGTAAGCTTGGTCCTGGATGGATGGAATCTGGGCTCTAATTCAAGAAATTAGAATTATTCACAATGGAGTGAGCCATACAAACTCTCAAAATACTTAGAAAAATGAAAATTTGAGATAATTTCCAAGGTTTGCTGAATGAAAATAACTTGATTTCTTAAGTCTAGTTTTTTGAAAAACTGTGGTAGATCTGTAAATATGCAGTGTCCCACAGCCTTTTTGCCACCATTTTTTCTTCAAGTGGTTTGATGGGCTTTCTTGCTGAACTGTAATTGTTATTGCTCGAGTTGGGTTGGAGTGGTGGATGGAGCACTGTGGTTAGCTGTGGGAGTTTGGGTTCCTTTGCCTACTCAGGTGTTCAGCAGTTTAGTGGCTGTGAGAAAGCCACTGCTCCTCATGCTTTAGTCTGCAAAATATGTATAATATTCTCCCATCTCATGGATGAGGTGAGGATAAACTTCACTAATTAAAAGGTTTTTCTTGAACTGAGTCATAGTAACTTCCCTTATTGTTTAGCCAACCTACCTTGTGGGAAGCTAGATCTCCTGCTACTAGATGCTTTGGATGCCTCCATCTTCTCCATTCTCTGGTTGTTCTTTGGTGTTTTCATCTATATTTTTGCTTTAACTGACTTCGGAAATATTCTTCTGTTTTGTTAAGATGACTTATGGCCCCCCAGACTTTTCTTTTTCTCATTCTTGATTTCAAAGTGTTCACTCTTTTTCTGCAATGCAAATTTCACTGTATATATCAAAATATCCTGTGCCATTGTGGTGATTATCTTTGCTCTTCCTTTGTGGTGTGGCTTGACATTTCCTTCTCCTGCAGCTCTTTACATCATTTTCCATTTCTTGCTAAATGGCTCCCCAAACACTCAGTATTATACATAATTTCCAAGAGGCACAACCACTACCACCTGTATAGGTCTACTGGAATTTGGTAGGGATGGTACAGTCCTTAAATCTAAAGACCTGAAGAACCTTACAATTCAACATGATCAGTAGCTTTTTATGTGACTGTTGATATTTCAATGCTCTTTCTTTGGAAGATATATGTCAAGACTTAAAGAAAGTGAACCCATCACCTGGGGGAGGAACTATAGCTCAGTGTTACATACTAAAAATTTCAAGTTCCATCCCCAGCATTTCCAGTTAAAAGGTTAAGGTACCAATGGATATGAAATATTTTGCGACCCTGGTGAGCTACTTCCAATGGATTGTTCTGCTGTAAGACAGCTTCTTATGTTCCTGTAGCTGTGTCTTTTTTTCTAGCTTGCTTTAGCTGTGTGTTTCTAGCTGTTGTGTATGTGTGTGTGGTGTCTTTGTCAAACCTGTGCTGGTGGCAGCAGACTCTTGATGGACACTAGTGGGAAATGAAGTTCTCTGTTTATCCACAGAACAGATACAGCATGGGAAGAGGCCGTGCAATGTTTCAGTTTGCTTAAACCCTGACCTGGAGGGACCACCATTAAGAATAAGAGGTTAGTTCAGTGTCTGTTCAACCTTGGTTTTGGATCTGTGGCTTAACAACCAAGGTGCTTAGTTAGTACTGACA